GTCTCCTTGTTCAGAAAGACTAAGCCTCCCCTGCCCCTCATGCCTGAGTCCCAGCCTCTTCGACAAGTGAGTCAGAGTTTATCTCCCCCTGATTTCCAGCCCCTCATCTAGCCAGTCCCAGTCTTCTTCCTCCATGCCTATTTCTCTACCAGTCCTTCCAGTCCCAATCTCATCACACACCTTGAATCAGTCTGGGAAGATCCTTCTGGGACCCCTTAGCTCACAACTGGAGCATTCTTAACCACTTTGTGGGGGTAGCATAAGCCCAATCTCAGTGTTGAGTTTATACCATACTGGTATTTGAGAGTGTCATACAGAGAGTATGAGGCAGGCTCAGCAAAGACTGAACTGTCAGTGATTTTAGCTGTTAAAAACACAAAATATATCCTGAGTAAACTGATTTTTTTTTCAAACTATGGCAGATTTAGGCAGATTTTCACAAGGAGGGCAAAAATACAGTTCTGATGCTCAGGAGGCAACCCCCCTCCCCAACTCCCATCTCCATTAAATTGTAAGTCCCTGCTCCAAAGCAGTGGGGCACAATAATGTTTCAAAGAGATGGCTTCAGGAATGTTTTGTGATGAGCAGAACATTTTCAGTTCTCTAATGTTGGCTGAAATAAAAAAAATAGAATAGAATCAGCCTTAAACATATACTTGGCATGGGAAATTTCAGCAAAATAGTTAAGTTTTAACTAAACTGAAACTATGGTCATTTAATGGGAAATACTGGACAACCTTATAATCAAGTAATATGCAGTGCTTTTGGCTTCACGTGTAACTTATTATTAAACACAAAAGAAAGTTCTAACATTAAGGATCAGATGTTAGCACTGCACAAAAATGCACAAAGAAAAGAGAATCAGTTAAGACCTTCATTGCTAGCTGTAATTTTATCCACTGTGCTTGTATCATAATTGATTCTCAATTATGAAGCCTCAGAAAAGTATGTGATTCTACAAGTTGTATTGAGTGGCACAACAGGATGAAGTAAGAATTCAACAACTGTCTTAATCCGGCTTTCCTTTGCCAATGGGTTTAAAGAAAGCCCTCAATGCTACTTTAACAAATATTTCTTTGTATATTGGGTAGCAACTGAAAGTGTGGTACCTAACACAGTTCCATGGTCTGAAATAGTTAGCTCAGAGGACAAGTACCTATTTCCATGTTTCTAGCCCATTGCCTGGGCGTAGGTCAGTGGGTGGGTGTACACACATACACACACATAACGCCTCAGAGGAATTATAGCACACTGGTGTCTCTTGCTTGGATGCAAGAATTCCCATGTGCTGCTCTAATAGAACATGAATGCCATCTTGTGTGATAGCGAAACTTCTGTTCCAACTTTCTTTTCCAGGCTTCTGTCTACTGGAAACTAACATGGAACTTTCATTGTAAGTAGCTGATTAAAATTACTTCTTCCAAGGACCCACCCACGGATGGTGTTCAGAAAATTTATCACAATTGCTATTAAGACCCCTCAGTTGTTACCCCACTGTGATATTAACCCTGAGCTCTGACTTTGTATTGGTGTGATATTGGGTGCATCCTCATATAAAGGTGTATAACTGCTTATCATGCTTATTGCAAAAATATAATTGAACTCAAAGAAGAAAATGTCCTATATGTTTTAGTAGCATCTTGCTTTGTAAAAATAACTCTATCTAGCTATACTAGTTTAAGGAGGCAGAAATACTTTTTCTTATGCAGCAAGTGAGAGTGCAATAATTTGACTATACACACTGGCACATTTCACCGTGAGATTTTAGTTACTCACTAACAGAAGCCATTACCAAGCCCAAAATGACTCTGACAACACCAGCATCAATGAGGTGTTTAGAACTGTTATGCCTAGTGGGTACCTATCTTGAAAATTAAATGCACAGTATTAGCACCATCAATGAGGTGTTTAACTTCAAAATTGCCTTCCCTGGTGAGAATGAAAACACTGCTTGTTTTCTTTTGTAAAATTACCAGCACACTATTTCTCTCTCTGCTCTCCTATGTAAACTTCTTTAATCAACCTACAGCAGTATAAATGGATGGGGAAAAGACAAGGCCCAATTTTTGCTGCTGTCTCTGTGCACGTAAGAGAAGTACTGTATGAAAGGGCTATAAGGCAGCAGTTCAAGATGCTCCTGGGTCTAGCTGTAGGAGCTCTTGGCTCTAGCTGTATTCAGTGTGCTAGGAATTCCTGGGAAATGACAGAAACTTAGGGTGTTTATTAGGGTTAACATACATCCAAGGTTTCCTGGACATGTTGTCTTTCTGGTTCCTCCTATCTCTTTCTGGGTAGTTTTCTTGAAATTTGAACAATGTCTGGGATTTTGCTTTGCTTCGCTGATGGGAGCACACATGTGGCTGCCATGCAGCCAGGTAAAGTGGTGGGAGCAGCTTCAGCAGCTGGATGCAGGTAAGTCTGTGGGCAGTGGGGGTTGGAGGGCCAGGGCTTGGCGACTGCCCATGTCTGTGTCCTTGTGTGTGTGTACCTGCCTGTTGACATAGGGGGAAGCTGCCTAGGCGCTGGGGCTGCGGCAGGGTGTGGAGGCACCTGCCCCTCCAGCAGAGGAAGGGGGCAGAGGGCCCTTTCAGGGGTGGCAAGGAGCTCTGTAGCTGGGCTGGTGGCACCAAGACTGGTGCCCATGCTCACAGGGGTGGGGCAGCCGGGAGATGCTGCCTGGGGGCACTTGGTGCAGCCCAGGAGCCCCAGGCCAGGGCAAAGGAGGGGGTCACAGGCATTCCCTCCTCCTACCTCCAGCCCGCACCAGGGCCAGATTCGCTCTGCTGTCATTTGCTCTGGCCCAGTCAGGATGGGGGCAGGTGGGGGCCCCCTCTGGCAGGACTGGGGGGAGCAGGGGGCTGCAGGTCAGGAGTGAGGGGCCTGGGGGGTAGGGGACTGTGGGTTGTGAGTGAGGTGTCCCCCCTGACAGGTGTCATTTTTTGGAACTGGAAATATGGTAACCCTAGCATTTATACACGTGCTCTGGGAGTGGGGGCACTTTAATTAGGTGCTCAGAGCACTAATTAAAGTGCCCAGAGCATCACATGTATCAGTGTCCCCATGCTGAAAAATGGCAGTGGGGGCACTTTAACTAAAGCTCATCGAACGACCTTTAGTTAAAGTGGCCCTGCCACCATTTTTCACTTAATCAAGTCTGCTCCGACATGCTGTATTTGCAGGGTTGGAGCAGCCTTGCTGCACATGTATAGGCTCCCTTAAGGGCATGCTCTGTGCCCTAGCTCTTTCCCAGCTGTCACCATACTTAAGGGGCAGCCAGTGAACAATGGGATGAAATGGTCCTCCACAGTTCCAGAACTGGGAAGGTACAATTTTTTTCCATTGCTCCTATCTTGAACCCTAGCATCAAAGAATAAATGAATGAAATCTCCCCAACTACCAGAGTTCTACACTTGAAAATCTGTGCGGTAATTCAAATTATTTCACATTTAAGAGTCTTTTATTCACAAAGAATGTTTTTTCTTTGGTGAACAACCTGGTGCTTTGATACAAATTATTAAATTCATTTAGGAAGCAGCTTCATTAAGATGTGGTATGAATTCACCCACAAGAAAGCAGAATTGGATGTATCTCTATCTCAAAGTAATTACTGCAATCAACATGCTGGTGTTCTACACCATTTTGTTGGCTACTTGTCCACTTACCTGGGCACACTCTATTGTTAGTGTCCCCCTGGCTGGAGGTCACATCCTGGTTTAAATGCTGGTATGCTGCCTTTCCTGATTCCAGATAATGGGGAGCTTCCATCTCTGTACAATATTCTTGATTATTTTGAAGACTTACCTCACACTTTAGCATGGTACTATACAGAGAGATCAGACATTGTTTGCCTCGGAGGAGAGGTACATGTACGTGCTCACTTGCAGTCATTCAGGACAGCTCTCTAAGTGGTATCCAAATGCATGCTAGACAAGGACTCTCAAATGGGATGCTTAACCACTGCTGAAATAAGGCAATGGAACGTCAGGACATGCAGGAGTGTTATGTACAATACATGGCTCTCTTGAGAGCTTGCTTGGTCTGTAGCTGCTATGAGAAGTTGGATGATATGATCCCACCACTCACCCACTGACCACAACTGATCCTGAAATCCAGGATTTTGTAGAGTTGAAGAGACGTAGGACATATCCAGACCCAAAATCATGGCTTGAAGACCCCCATGCAAAACTCAGAGCTCACCTAACCCTTTCACCAAATTGCTAAAAGTCACCCCTACCACTGACCCAGATGTCCCACTCAAAGGTGAATTAGCAACATTTTGCCATCTCCAAACTCAGCCAAGAGTGGGAAGAATGTTTGGGAATAGAATTCTAATGCCAAACAGAAAACAACATTTCATCCCTGCTGGATCAGACTCCGCGATCTGGATAATCATCTACATTGTCCATGTATCTGTTTTTTGCTTTGCGCAACTACACTGACAGGGAACAAGAGGTGGGGTGGAACAGAAAGAGAAGCACAGGGACAGACTAGCTGCTAGGAGTGGTACACAACTTTCTTGGAGCTTGAAAGCACAAACTTGTTTGCATGCAACCATTTGTCTTTTTACAGTTTGTTAATGACTGTAGATGTCCAACAGCTTCTTTTTACTCTCTCCCAACATTCAACTTTGCATGTCATTATTGTTAATTAGAAACAATCAAAAAAGATGTCTTTACATTCAGGATTTTACATACTGCGTAATTTAATTAACCAGCATCATCCAAAAATCCAACTAATTTTATAAAAAGATCCAAATGTGCAATATTATTACAGCTTTCACTAAAACCCTACATGGTAAAATGGACAAATGAATCAGTAGAATCTTGTCACTATTACATTGACATGCAATCATCCTGCCTGATGTCTTTTTCTATAAGACAAACATTCTTCACAGATGGCCTTCTAGATTTGAAGTATTAGCACTTAATGCTGCTTGCATTTATAGAACAGGGACCAATAAAAACTGCAGATTAAATCAGGATAATGAGAACGTAGTGGCCTTTTATTGTGCAAAATAATGCAGGGAGTAAGGAAGGAAATGTCCTTTGTTAAATATTTATCAGTTTGGTCCTAACGATCATAACAATGTTATCAGTAATTACCTCTATAGGGGGGCAACAGCAGGAACTGAACACCAGATCTACAGAGCCACATCACATGCATCTTCCAATATGTAACTCTTTGCTAGAGAATAGTCAGGCAGGATTCTTGGTCTAGAAAAGTAATGTGGTCAAATCACTTAAGAAGTGATTACAAGATTTGGAATACTCATTTCAAAATATAATATACCTAGATGAATGAAACTTGGGGCTCCCTTACCCAAAGTAACAATTCTGTTCTTTATTGTGCAAGATAGTCCTCTATCACCTCTCAGTTACCTGTAAAAAAAGGAATGATATTTTTGTAAGTGTAGAGCAAACAGAAATATTAATAGGAAAAGGAGTGAGTCTTCTTTCAGCTGAGTACACCTTTAGGTTAAAACCTGAGGAAGAAGCAAGTCTTCTGACTTCACACCATCCCTAGACTTAAAATTTGAGAATGAATGTCTTGCATTCAAAAGCCTGTCTAACCTTATCCCAAACTACATAGTTGGTTCAATAAAAGATCTCACCCCAAAAAATCCTTGCCCCTCACATAATTTCTAGACCATCATGGCTACATCACACTTACACTACTATAGACTAGAAACATCTCGTGTTGGTAAACATCCACTTGGTGCGACAGAATTCTGTGCGCGCAAAGAAATCTAGTAACAAAAAAAAAGTCACCTTTTTAATCGGTTGGGTCCTGGATTTTGACATATGCCATTGGCATGAGAAAGGATGGAAAGCATTTTATGGAGAGCCTCCTTTTGTCCTTTCCCCTGAGAACTTAGCCTGAATGTAGCCGAGAATCTAGTCACTAGATACAGGCACACACATGGCACAACCTTATTATAAAGAGCCAGACGATCCCAACAGCAAGAACTGTTATCTTCTTGCTATTAAGCTGTAAACAACTGATACGAGAGGCAAGGATTTCTTTGGCTGAGACAAACCCTGCTATACTGGGCACCTCTACACATTCATTCACGTGCCTTTGCATGAAGTAGTAAATAAAGCTGCTGTGGCAATGCATGGTAGCAAAGGTGAACTTTTTTTCTGCTTAACACAGCATATGCTAATTCTACTGTGCATTAGTATGCTTTTTGCCTTGATGCATAAAACAGTTCACTGAGCATTAAGACAGCTCGTGTAGATGCACCCACTGTCATTAACTCCCCTCGGGGGTGGTCACAAGGAGACAGCACACGGCTAATCACGACGTGGGCGGGAACTACAAACACAGCCTCATGGGCTGAGGCTACCTCCATAAACCCCAATACCCCCCCGCACTGCTCCTGCCAAGCGGCTGCCGAGCCGGACCCCCTACCCAGCCACCTGGGTCTAGCCCCGGGTAGGATCTACCCAGCCCACGGCTCCAGCCAGCGCAGACAGACTCAAAACGCGAGACTACGTCACAATAACCCCAAGAACGCGGCATGGGCGGGGACGCTTCTATTATGACGTACATCACCACGCCCCCACCGGGAGGGAGGGAAAGGAGGCAGGCGCCGCAAGGTACACCGGGATGAGATTTGGCGCTTTTCCTCCGCGAGGCCGTCCACCGGATGTAAGGTCATCATGAACAGCCGGAAGGAAGCGCTGAGGCAGCCGCTTCCGGTGCAGTGGACTCG